AGACTTGTGTCGTTAAAGTTTCGTTGGAACGAAGTTACGGAAAAATCAATTAACAAACGGAGACGTAACATTATGTTAAGAAACTTAAATAAAGTTGATGTATTGTTTTGAATATCAGTCTCAGAAACAGTTTTTTAATCTAACCATAAATCTCCTCGAGTTAGCGACTTATGAGCTCCACTTGCCACTGCAATCCTCAAATAAATAAATTTGGTGTAATCGACATATTAGTCGAAACTGCAATGACTAGCCCTAAGAGCGCTATCCATTACAATGTCATTGCGTCCTAAATATATATGAAAGTGCTCCTGTACTACAAGAGACAGGAAAAAAGAAAGACCAATCAAACAACTACTTCATTTTGGATTTAATACTGGGAGTAAAATGTGTTTCAGAAATTAAATTCCAATTGATATATTTTTAACGTTCTCCATGGCATATAATTTCGGTTGGAAAGTTTTAATGACTAGAGCATTTTTGAACCTTAGTATTCTTCCGTATATTGCCTTGAATGCTAAATTGTTCGAATTTAGGTAAGAGTCAGGTAGCATACTGCAAACATGTGAGATTTCTGTTAGTGGGCCCAATGTAGCCTTTCACGCAGAGAAGACATTTGTATTTATCAAGGACAAGGGCTTACCGTATTTTATTGATCTTGTCCTTGAATGGGAAAAAGTTTTTAGTCGAAAAAAAGAGTTCCTATGGACACATATAAGATGTGTTTGAGGATAGGCCTTATTAAATTTCACGATTTTAAATCTTAATAACAAGGATTTATTACCTAGAGAAGGGAAAGTGATCGTTATCGAACATTAATAAACTGTCTGAGTTAGAGAAGCATTATTAACTTTATCAATTTACTTAGTACATATTTGACATTTTTATCAATAACCATTTTAGAAAAACCATTATTTTCAAATACGTGATTAATGTTTGATATCATGTTTAAAGTAAATTAAGTTACCACAGATATTATATGCTCGAAACTATAAAACCTTAATAAGGTTGTGTTTAAATGATTCTGGTATAAGACTTCCATAGTTGTAATAAAAATTATGTCTATCTTTTTTATGAAAGTAATTAACATCAAACCTCGAAACATTATGCTTAATTGTAGTGTTTAGAAATGAGAGTTGGAAATTATTCTCAAATTTAACAGAAAACTTTATGCTAGAATGTTTGTTTCGATACATTAAAATGAACTAGCCTGATAATTATTGTGAAATAAAACAGAGATGTAATCAACATATCTTGTGTAATATAAGGGTTGAACTTAATTTGTACAATTGGCCAACTATTGCTTTTCATAGTGAGATAGGGATAAGTTTGATAGTGTTGGTGCAAGGCAAGAAGGATCCCATCGCCACACTATCTATCTGATCATAAATTTCATTATTAAAAATAAAGTGGGAATTCTTTGTACCAAATGTTAGTAGTTTTTGAAGCTATGTTTTGGAATACCTTAGATAAAACTGTGAGCTTGATATATAATGTTTGTAGGTCGATTGCTTCCTCTAGTGCAACATTTGTAAGTAAGAGTTTAACATCAAAGCCTGCCACAAAAACATAATCAGAGAGTTAGTTTCTCTAATTTGTAAGAAAAATTGAATTATCATGCACTGTTTCCCCTGAAGAACATATTTTCTTTAAGAAAGTGTTTGGGTAATTATTTAGTTTGTAACTAAAAATACCACTGGTCGACACAGAATATGTCTCATGGATATATCAACTTTGTAGGTTTTCAGTAATCCATAAATTACAGGATGAGAGCCTACATGACTCATATCATTTTAGATAGATCCAGAGATGATACTATTATTTTAAGGTTTAATAAGAACCTTTGTAACTTAGAATCTCTAGATAAAGTGGAATCATTGTTAAGTTAAAGTTTGTAAGCCTGTCTGAAAGTATTCATTCATGCCTGTCTTCCAGTTGGTCAGCAGTAAGTTTCTGGAGTTACAATGATTAAATATAGGGTTCGATTTCTCGCAGGGAACAGAGCGCAGATAGAAAGATCGGGGAACATCACGAATAATCCAGTATTTGCTAGGCGCCCTCTATTCTTGCATATAAGTGCGCCAGTCAATGAATCGGAATAGAAT